ATCTGGACACCGCCACATGGCCCATCTGCCAGAACCTGGGTCTGAGAGAAGACACCTAACTATGCAGATCTTTACTGGAGTGCTGAGTTCACCAAACACTGCCCTCAAGTTTCAAAGCCAGCCCAGCTGGATCCCAAACAGAGCGCCCAGCACAGTAATGAAAATACCGGCTGATGGGCAGCCACCCACTGCTGTTTACTAACTGAATAGCTTTGGGCCAGTCACTAAGCCTCTCTAAGCTCTTAAAAACACCTTATCAGACCCTGCAAGTTCCCACATGACCTGACCCCTGCCGACCTCTCAGATTACTACTTATACTACCATTTCCTCTCTTTAACTGCCTGGACATGCTGTGCTCATTCCCACCTCAGGGCCTTTGCACTTGCTGTACTCTCTGCCTGATACACTCTTTCCCAGTTTCACCTGGCTGGCTACTTTTCATCATTCAGGTCTCAACTCAAATGTCAAAACGTCACAGCCAAGATCTCATAAACATAATGTTGAGTTATGTGAGTGCATATTACCTATATCCATTTATATAAAGTAAAAAAAGGAACAAAACCAGTGTACAGTTGGTGTAAGTCGGGGAGTGGGTACCCTTTTCAGGGGGAAGGAAGTGCAAGAAAGGAGCATCAGAGGGCTCTCTGGGTTACTGGTAAACGATTTTTTTCTTGATCTGGATTTGGCTACCTCAGCATGTTCAGTCTGTGAACTCACTGAGCTGTTCACTTATAACTCACATTTTTAGTGTGTGTGTTATACTGCAATGAAAAAATTAAACCAAAACAAAAAAACTACCTCATCAAATTGGTTTTCCTTAATCATCTAATCTATACCACCCTATTGGCTAAACTATTCATTCTCGATCCATGACCCGGTTTTGTTTTCTTTATAGCATTTGGCTGAAATCGCCTGCATTATTGTTTACGTAGGTAAGTATGGTCTAGCCCTTTCCCACTCCCATTAACATAAAGTATCATGTGCCAAGGGCTCTGCCTGCCTGTTTACCACTCCTAAATTTCAGCACCTAGAGTGGTCCTATTCTAGCTATAGGCCAAATACAAATATACATGTCAAATAAGAAATGACTAAAGGAGGCCCTTTAAGGATATAACAGCAATCAAAAATCAAAACAGTGAAGCCAAGAAGAGGAAATAAAAAATTTCAATGGCATTAAGCATTAGGAATATGCGTCAAACATTAAATTTAACTACAGGGAGGGGCTAGATAAAGTATCATTCTATGGGTACCTTTGTGAGAGTGGTTAAAGTCACTTCTCAGAGCAGACTTTTATCTCTGTATACCCAACAGTTTTGCACAAGGCCTGGTACAAAATAGGTCTGAGCCAAGAGTGGTAACAGATTTCTGAGGCACTTGGTGAGGACTCTCACGTTTTGTGGGAAAAGTAGGTGATGTTCCATTGTACAGAATGTCTGCACCACCACGGGAGTAGGGAGGCACACATCCAAGCAGACTTAGATGGAGCAGTTACTACAAAGCATCCAAGCCTGGCTGCAGCGGCTCAGCTGGTTGAGCACAGTCCCATGTACAGAAAGGTTGCCATTTCGATTCTGGGTCAGGGCATATACCTGGGTTGCGGGTTTGATCCCCAGTCGGGGAACATACAGAAGGCAGCCCACTGATGTTTCTCTCTCACATCAATATCTCTCTCTTCTCTCCCTTCCTCCCTCTAAGCATGTCCTCAGGTGAAGATACATAAAAAAAGAAGCATCCAAGAATTTGAAGAGTTCCTTAGAAGTCACGAGTAATACCTATTTTTTTATTTTTGGCCAATTCCAAGATGTTTATAAAGAAAAAATAAAACTATAGTAGTGCTTTTGAGACCGATGTAATACAGTTACTGCTAGTATGCAGACTAACCCACATGCTGGCTGACGCATTTTCATGAGCAAATCCACGCTCACAAAGCAACAGCCCAATGAAGGGAAACTTAAAAGTAAGCCTTTATTCTGTAATTGGCTCTGTCACACTCTCTTTATAACCTTGAACAAGTCATTAAATTATTTAGTCCTCAATTTTACTACCTGTGAAATGAGCTGGTTGGACTAGAGGGGTGGGGAACCTTTTTTCTGCCAAGGGTCTTTTGGATATTTATAACATCATTCAGGGCCATACAAACCTATCAACTTAAAAAGTGGTTATGAAAAAATGCTCCTAGATTTATTGCCTTGGTAGGGCCAGATCAAAGGCCTGAAGGTTCCCCACCCCGGATCTAGATGCATCCTAAGGCCCATTTTCTTGGACAGTTTCAGACTTTAAAAAATGGTTCTCATCTTGTAAGCCTTCTATTTACAAGCTAACAAATCTTCCACAAGTATGTAAATCAAGGTTACCAGACAGTGAAGAGATCGGTTTACCTAGTCTTCCTGCCAAACCAAGGGTATCTCTTCCCAACCAGGTTCTCTCGAGGGCTGTGCTCAGGCTCCCACTTCTGGGTTGGGCGGCAAGAAGCCCTACACTTCAGCTCAGCACTTGGTTTCTCTGTACAATTGCTGCCTTTGCTTCAGTTTTCATGCCCCAGGCCCCGTGTTTCTTAGTCAAGTCTACGCTCCCAGTTAGCACCAGAGTTCTTGTTTCTTGTGGCACCTAAATAATGAACAGACTTGAGCACCTGGAGGTATTCTCGCTCCGTTACAACAGCTACTAGTGATTTTAATTAGACAAAACCGCCACTCCTGGGGCTCCCCCACCACTGCCACGTGCCTGTTGGGGTGTCACAGCAATAAGCATTAGCACCTTTTAAATTTACATTAATAAAAGGAGAGAAATGAGAAGTCAGGAAATGAAAGGACAAAACAGAACCCTCGGAGATGTCAAAATTAGACAAAGCTTAAAGTAACTGAAAACTCATTAGTAGCTACCTTTAGATTTTCTTAAAAACTATACTAGGCACGTCCTGGTTAGAGCTGCACGGGTGACAATCTGCTTCTCATCATAAAAAATGGGAAGAGGGGCAAGGAAGTGGCTCTGCCGCGGCTGGGCCCGCCCGTCCTCTGCGTGGACAGCGAGTCGCGGCG